AATAAGAAAATAAGAAAGTAGAATTTTCTAAAAAATATTTTTTAGAAAACCAAAAAAAACAAATTAAAATATATATATATATATATATATATATAATTTAAAATTATATATTAAATAAAAAAATTAAATTATAAATTATAAATTAAATTTAATTAAAAATAATAAATTATAAATTATGGCCTTATAAATTAATGTTTTTTTAGTGTTGTTAAATTATAAATTATAAATTATAGATTACATATTTTAAATTTTATATTAAATAAAAAATATAAATTATAAATTTAATTTAATTGAAAATAATAAATTAAAAATTATGGCCTTATAAATTAAAAATTAAATTTTTTTAGTGTTGTTAAATTATAAATTATAGATTACAAATTTAAAATTATATATTAAATAAAAATTATAAATTACAAGGGTAAAATAGTCTTTTGAACATTTATCCTTATCCAGTCTGTTTAACCAAAAATTGAATTTACTAAAAATAGTCTCTAATCCCATGACTAAATAAACATAGGATACAAATCCAATCCAACCAAATAGTCTGGGGACAATATATCCCGAGACTAACAGGCCGATGAATTATAATCCCCTTATCCAGTCCATTCAAACAAACAGACCCTTTATGAATCTGAAAACATCGACTGTCGATAGATTTGAAAGAACGAAAAAAAATCTGAATATATCTACCTGTGTAACTGAATAAATTAAAAAATTAAGATGTTAAACACCAACTTTAGCCTTTCCTTTATTACAATGGTTGATGCACATTTTCAAAATATACTAATTACAAATCTAAAACACAAGAAAGCTCCAAACCCCTCTTTTCATTACTAGTATAGAAAATGCTATTTCCAATTTTTCATATGACTAGTTACATATATATTTTTTCTAAGAATTATTACAGATTTTTCTTCCAAAAATTTTGTTAAATACCAAGAACAAAGGGGCATGAATACGTAATGGATTTCACATTTTGAGGATGTGAATCACAGTTGGACAAATCAAAATAAAAGCCTCAACAATACTTCAAATTTCTCACAAAACCAAACTATTGTCTTCGCACTTGCCTTTGAAGCTCCATTTTATGTAGTTGCAATTCACTGAGTTTCACCTTTATCCTCTCAACATCTTGTTTCATGGTCTCTATCTCCTTTCGCGAATTGATCCTCGCCTTCCCTAGGCCTCGACTTGCTCTCATAATTGCCTGTGACTTTGTTCTCTGGTAATTTGTTCCGTTGGTTGTGATTGACCTTGTCATATTAACTTGATCCAGAAGGATAAACCGGGTGATAATATTTAATGGCAAGCGGTCATTCTTCATGGCGTGTTTACGAGCTTCTTGAGATAATTTATGGTACTCCATGGCTCGACATATGCCATTTCTTTCTTCTTCTGTTAGGCTAGGATGTGCCTGCACGGTTAAAGAAAGACTGTTTATGTAGCTTTAAAAATAATATAATTTACATGATTTTGAGCTCGATCAATGACATGCTAAATTTTCTCGACCACAAAGAGAGGATCTCTGACATCCAAGAAAGAAAACTAACAGAGACAAGAGAGTATTATTTTTTCCGTTGCAAAAAGTATTTGTGATGGCATGATGACAACAAATGAGGGTGGAAAATGTAAGGGTCACAAAAACTATTTGCATCGGTAAATTTGCGTGCCATCGCAAATATTCCTACAGCTGAATTCCAGCTTGTTTCATCAAAATTAATAGAAGTTTCAAACCTTGAGGTACATATCGATGGCTCTGTAAAGGTTGTCATTACAATAACGGGCATTTCTTGGCAACGCTTCTATGAGTAACTGAAAATTTTTCACTTCAAGATTTTCATCTCTCGCTACTAGTGTCAGATACTCGTCCACCAACCTTCCAATAACAAATATTCTTGAAGGAGGATTACTCGAGACAAGCAAAAGATAAGCTTCTACCACTCTGGCAATTATGGTCACATCATATACTGCACCACCGGGCTCATAATTTCTAACTAAAAGATCCTTGGCACGACTTTTCTCCAATACAAATATGACCCTTTTTTCTAGCATATTTAGTAATTCAGAATCAATTTTCATAATAACGCCTATTTTGAGAAGATGAAGAAGAAAATTGAAGGAAACCGAATTTTCCTCTACCGGAAGTACCCTTATCAAACTCTCAATTGTGACTTTTTGTAGCTCAAGTGGCATATCTTCTTGTTGAGTCACATTTTCAAGTCCAAATTTGATTTTCGAAAGCCGCTTCACGGTCCAATGCGCTATGCACAATCCAACGAGCTTCGTTCTCACTACCTTTCTTTTGATTGATTCAATCACTTCAATGAAATGATCTATTCGAAGGAGCGAAACATCTTCAAACCACCAACCATCGATTACATTTCCATTTACATTGTCTGGCAAAACACTCAGGCATTCTACTTCATTGTTGTCAGACTCAATTGCTTTTGCGTTGGCGCAGGCCTTCCAGGCAACAGCTTCCGAGCATCGTTTCAAGATTTGAAGATCTCGGGCCCATGAGGAGATGGATTCACAGCTCTTGAAAATCCTAAATGTGTCTTTCCATGATGAAAATATAAGAAAACTCAAGAAAGACTCTGTTTGGGATATGAGGTTTTGTTGTTCAAAATCATCACTCATTTCCAAGAAATGTGCAGCACAATATAAAGGAGCAATGTTGGTTGCTGTCAGATCAACCTTCCATCCATAACAGAATTTAACAATTAATTCAAAAAATTTGGCTCCACCGGGAAAATTGTCAATCCGGATATTAGGACTTGAGTTGATGCCTTTTCTCTGAAAGATCAACCGATTCAAATATCCACTCCTTGAGACCATCGGAAGCTGAAAGAAAAAAGAGCGAATAAGGTAAAATACTAGAGATTAATATTCTGTTTGTTTGGCCAGAAAATAATTTTCTACCAAGAATTCTATATAAAATCTTTTCTTATATTTCAACCGATTCAAATATCCACTCCTTGAGACCATCGGAAGCTGAAAGAAAAAAGAGCGAATAAGGTAAAATACTAGAGATTAATATTCTGTTTGTTTGGCCAGAAAATAATTTTCTACCAAGAATTCTATATAAAATGTTTTCTTATATTTGATTGCGATTTCAAAACAAATATGCTAGTGGTTGTGGTAGTGGCAGGCGGGGTAACAATGGGTGGTGCCAGAGACTCGCTGGGGTTGACTTTTATAGAAATGAAAATAATATACTAAACATTTTTTTTAACTAGTTATTTTACTAGTTAACAAAAAACAGAAGCATTAACAAACGATGCTAGTAAAGTGCACCTTATGCAAGTGAAAGATGTTTTCTTCGACTTGAATAATTAAATCGCTCTCAACTTTCATCCGGTAGAACCTGCACAAAGCATAAACTAGTGAGATATATTGGCATCACATACACACACCAAGAGGAACAGTAGAGGGGGATTGATTACCAGCTTTGGTTTCTTCTTTCTACAGACTCTGCAACCATACTCGAATTTGTGGAATAGATGACACAACGGTTATTTTGCCTACCAAAAAGTGTTCCAGAAGTTGGGTTTCTTCTTTGAAGACTTGTTGATTCCATGGAAGACTTCTTATGTCCGGGGATGAGAAACTTATAGTTCATTTTCCTCAAGCCAAATGCTAGACTGACTTGGTTCATCCAAATAGGTGACTTGGTTTCCACAGTTACAGCACTAGCTCGGTTTTGTCCTTTGCCAATGCTTATGACGTCTAAGATGAACTTATAAAACGGCATATGACATCTCCACACCTTTTGGGTTGGAACTCGTGAGACCAGAGGTTGGCTGAGCCACAGCAGCCACCACTTTCAGATGGTGTTGGACTACTTGTCTAACACGATATCAGAATCAAGGTCGTGAATTGGAGACTGAAGGGACAAATCCCTAAGGCCAGCCCTTGAGCTAGGCTATAGCGGACAATGCCTCTAAGTGGGAATTGGACCACGCGTCTAACAATTCATCCATAGACTCACAAAAAAATATATATATATATATATATATCAAGATAGAGCTCATTTGATGAATGTCACTTTCATATTTCTTATTCAAAGGATGATTACATTTCTAGGAGGAATAAATTAGCATTTGGTTTACAACTAAACCCCTCATGGTACTATATAAATGTTGCTTTTCCCACCATCTCTCATTCTCTTTCTAGAGGAGGAAAACAAATAAATAAAAATTGTAAATCACATGCACACACAAGAATATAATATTTACGTGTTTTACCCCTAAAGCTAAAACTACACCTATGGTTACTGCAGTTACACTCCCTTACCTATACATACACAGAATTAGGACTACTAATCAGTAGTGTAAAACTACCAAAATATCCTTCCTCTACAATTTAAATCAAGTAGTTAGTATCTAATACTTATCAAGATCCACGCTACCTAATATTGATTGAGAAAAGTGGTCTAGTACAAGCACAAGTGGAAGAGATTTTTGCACAATTTTATGTTTGTGTTGGCTCCAGTTTTGGCCACACAAAACACATGCTTCATGAATGGGACAACAAAAGGCAACTACCCTCTTAATAGCCTAACTACTACTGCTGCAAAAAAGACTCCATAAGCATATAAATTGAAAATTCAACATATGTTTATTTGAGCTTTCTATTACAACTTTATATATAACATGTATGCACTTGACATTTTGATGGAAAAAGGAAGAGATCCATAACTTTTCTTTTTGTCAATAGAATTACATCTCAAATTGAACATTTAACATTAAAATAAAGCAATACGAGTACAAATATGCAACAAAAAAAACCAACAAAACAGATGAAAGATCGAAACAAATATAAGGGAAAAAGACCACGTGTAGGTAGAGAGAGTCGGATGACCTCCTACTTACACGCATATAGAATATCAGCTGGAAAATATCCACAGAATGCAAAAGGTCATAAATATCTCTATGTTGAAAAAGGTCATTTGGTAACAAATGAATCAAACTTCTAAACTATATGGATCATATACTCTGCAGAAAGTAACACACAAGTTCTACGCAAATTTCATTTAGGCTGTGTTTGGATCAGCAAGAAAAAGAATTCAGGCTCAAGTTTCTTGATCAAGTGGTCATAATTTGTCAACAGATGCTAGAGAATACAGAAAAACAATACAAGAAAAGTCACATAGTTAGGTGTGTAATAATAATGATAATTTGAAGATGGTCATAAGACGCGATATGGATTATACCCAGCATATATAATGCAACAAGAAGGCAACGCTTCCATATAGAGCTTCCGAAGGTAAGATTCATATCTCACAACAAACAGAGCCCTAAACCTAAACACAAATACATTTTTATACCAAAACAGCCGGAACATCCACAATATGGAACTGAAAATACAAGGTGTCAATTAAAAAGTACAACAAAGTCATAGACCTTTCTGTGGCCTTTTCTTTACAATTCCTTCAATAAAGGAAGAAGAAAGAAGAAAGGCTTCTAACTGGACAGGGTAATTAAATCAAAGACCTGTTCCTGTCATTTTCTTTACAATTCCTTCAAGAATCCCATCACCTCCGAAATTGCTATTAAATTGTTGCTGATCGACTGGACCTGGTAGCTTGAATGAAATCGAAAAAGGCCCCGGTGGGCAAAGATTTTGTGTACACATCTCAAATACTTGGGAGAATTTGTGAACTGTTCTTTCACCCATTGATGTTACTCCCTTTATCACTACTTTCCCAGTAGGTTCGATATCACAACTAAATCCATCTGCAGTTACAAAGCCAATGGTCAGATTGATCACTACTAGAAGTGAAACATAACATAATAAGGCATTCAAAGCAAATTGAGGGTGAAATCAATTTTTTTTCGCACTTAAGAGATTTATAATATAAAAAAGTTCCTGATCAACAATAGATACAATGAAATGCAATGCGGTACAAATACAGAAGGATTTCAATTTTGTGGTTTTCACTTTTCAAGAACCCATTTCCATCCATACGAATTTATTATAACTAGTAAATTCCAATGCTTATATATAATTTCAATTATAACATTGTAAATTAGCAGATAAAATGTTACTCTCTCTATGCCATTTTGTTTGCTATCTTTCCGTTTTGGGATGTCCCAAAAAGATTGTCCACTTTGAAAAGAAAAGACAAAGCATAAAGTGTGTTAAGTTTCCAAAACTATCCATCATAAATACTTAGACGTATATTTGAAAATGGGAAATAAAAACGCAGTTGTTAAAAACAATACATTTGAATTTGAATTCTAATGGATTTATTGTGTCCCCTTAAATTAAGATGGACAAACAAAATGAGATGGAAGAATAATATAGCAAGGTTTCTTTTTTCTTTTTCTTTTTCTTTTCTTTTCTTTTCTTTTTTTTTTTTTTTTTTTTTTTTTTTTTTTTTTTTTTGAGAACATGAAGAAGGGTTATATTAAAAAATTATCCAGGAAAAACTACCGATCATCACATAGACGTGGTTTGGAAAGCTAGATCTGCATCAAACAAAGCAAGATCTGCATCAAAACTTGTCGTCGCTGTCTACCTGCGCTGCTGCTGCCGCCACAGCCGTACTTCGGACACCGCCAAAAACTAGAGTTGAAGAAAAAGAATACCCACAATGGTATGGGAGAGGGCTTGAGAGAGGAGGGAACCATTATGGGTGTCGAAAATCTAAAATCTATGCCGAAATTGGGGGAGAAACACTCAAAATTCCTATTTCAAACATAAAAAGCTTAGATCTATACTCTAATAGTGCAAATCTACACTCTAAAAATGTAGATCTATACTCTAGAAATGCAGATATACACTTTAGAAGTGCAGATCTATACCCTACGAGTGCAGATCTATACTTTAGAAGTGTGAAAGAGGTCATCGGACAATCGCCGGAGCTCCGCTAGAAATCTCCCAGAGAGAGAAGCTATCGCTGCTCTCTCTTTGAGCTCTAAAGTTTTAGCATGGTTTCTTTAATTTGATAATAAAATACAACAAAATTTCCCCGGGGGGGGGACATATTTAGAATGCAGAAAGCAATTATGAAGTTTTCCATTTCTTATTCATCCTAATGTCCAACTTACTTTGATTCACTCCAGGGAGAGAAACACGAAAAACATATGCATCCTCAGATTCAGCCATGTCCAATGACCCTACAATTGGCCCTATTTTTCCCATTGCAGCACTTCCTGTTAAGCCAACTCCCCTATTGGTAGCAGCTAAAATGTTATTCCACTGTTCCTCAGTTGGGCGAGAAGGCAAGAACACCAGAGCAGGCTCATTACTTGCCATAGGATCGCTTTCCATCTCTGTTGGGGATAAATCATCATCACTAGATATTACATGTGGACCTGTATATGGCATGCTATTGAGAGGTGCCACTGAAAGAACCGGTTGTTGAGGATCCACAAATAGCACGCCATCACGGTTTTTTGTGTCGCCGCCATGTATATGGGACCTATAGCATTTGTTGCAAACAATAACATATAAGAATTTATGTGTTGGTAAACAATATATTATGGAAGGCTATTTTGGACTTTAATGAATATTTCATACTTCACGACATATTTTTAAAGGAAAATGCTATGCTATTCACACAAAACTTGTCACTAGAATGATGTGTCACACTGTCAGTGATATTTTTGCATTTAAATGTAATTTAAATGGGCACTTTGTTTTAAAATGATAAATTCCAATGCAATCACATCATTCTTTATATAAATATATATATTTTGTTGCATATCACTGCTCATTTTCAAATTCATACAACAAAGTCAATGCTCACTTGTGCCACGATACCATAGAGGCAGGAAAATTTTATCTCTGAGAAATTTCAAGCATAAATTTCCAGCCATAACACAAGTAACCAAACACATACTTAAAAGATAGGGCAAGATGTTAGAAATAAATCTTGACATCTAGACCACAAGGACCTAAAAAAATTGATGCCTGTCTTTTGATGAACTTTACAGTGTGTCAAATTGCACCCATTGAAAGGTTCTTTTTTCAATTCTAGAAAGATACGCTTTGAAAAAGAAGGGTTCAAAAGACACAGGAAGGGGCTCCATTGAAATTGAATTTTACACAAGCCAAAAAGAAGCAGCCTGAAAGGAGTATAAGAAAAAAATATATATTTCAGCAATAACCATTAAACCAAAAAGAAAGATAAAGAAAAAGCTAATGACTAGGTTCTAGTAGAGGTGAGTCCAACTCGTTCAAGGTTGGCAAGACAATGTGAGAAATATTATAAAGTGGCATTCCTTAACACAACAATGGCAAGAAGCTTGCATGATCACACACTTCGGATGTCATTCAACAAATCCATGCCATTTGACATACCCCACCACCCAAATGCACTCATATTTACACTTCAAGATCCTCCTCCAATACCTCTCCTTTTCCTAAACAAATCTCTACAACCACTTTCCCAACAAGGCATGGTTAAAGATAGCCAACCTGCAAACCCCAAAACTAGTGTCCCAATCACAAAATGGTCCCCACCCCTCCGCAAAGAAATCATGTTGCAACTTCTCCAAATGTTTCCCAACCAAGACCAAAATTGTGAACATTGACATAAAATAAGTGGGAAGACTAGACAAAGTACTCTTTTCATCAATGATAGCCTGGCATCTCTTTATAAATTTACATGCACAATTATTTACACTAAGAAACCAACTTTTAGTTAAAATTCTCCAAACAATTACACAATCAAAAGATAAAAAATAAAATATCACACAATTACCAACATCTAAGGTAATACATGAAAACAATTCAACAAAATGATGGGCCTATATGGTTGTCAGAAAACAACGGGCCTATGTCAATAGAAGAAAATCACAAAACAACCAATCACTATATATGTAAATAAGGAATAAAAATAGAAAACATCAAATTACAAGAGTGACCGAATACTTTCTCAGCACCTATCAATCAAGTATGAAAGACATTTAGCTAAATTGGTTGAGGGCCTATTTTGTTGTCCCAAAAGAGTGAACTCAGACATTTTAAACCTGGATCATTCAAATTAGATAATTTTAAGTGCTCTTTTAAAGTGAGACGCCTAAAAAATCTATAAATTTTTTTGCTTTGTGAAAATTTTGTTCATTCATTGAAAACATAGAATTACCTAGCCTACAATTGAGAGATTAAAAATCTATTGTTCTACACCTACACAAATTTGGAATTAATGAATTTTCTTAATCCATAGATTCTAAATTAGTAAAAACAAGATGAACTAATTCAATATGTGCAACCAAGCAGTCCCTAAGTACATATATGTAAACAAAAGTTACCTTTTATCAAAATTTTATGGCTCTGCCCCGACCATTCACATTTAAAGCAAGATGTACATCCACACATATAAACATATATATGTCTATAAAGATAATGCACTTCAATATAGATGGAATGTTTTTTGAATCATAACAATATTTTACTTTATGGAGATACAAACATAAGTATTCACCCAAAAAAGATATAACCGTAAGTTTCATAAGCATAGTGAACTAGCAGATCAATACAAATGTATGATTATCATTATGACATATTGACATGTATGTATACAAGCACAAAGAAGGGATTTAGCGGCCTGAGTACCTGAATGGAGACGCCATCTCAGAGTTGCCAGAGAAGTTTGGTAATCGATCAGTGGTGAATGATGCCGAGGTTGAGGCCTGAATATGGTACGGAAGTTAAACAGTCCACCTGAGAGGTTCTTTAAATTGAGAAAATCTAGGTGCTCTGTATATGTGTATGTACATATTTATATAATATGGCTTTGTAAATACAGACAATGAGATTTGTGAGCAGTAGGTAAATGATCAGGTGCCTTTGGAACACTGTACTCATGCTAGCTAATAGCATTGAATCAATTTTTTTGAATTGTCTTTGACTAGTGTTAAGATAAGAGTGGTGCAAATATGAGTATGGAACCTTAACTTTATTTTTCTGTCCCGGAAAACCTGATTTATGCTCCGGTGGATGGCTCCAAAACAGAAATATAATGTCTATATTTTTCTTCTAGTCGTGCAAATAACAGATGGGACTTAAGGCTTGGTTTGGTTTATGCAAATAACAGTTTTTGGACAATCTTTGTCAAAGAGATTTTAACTTTATTAAGATAATATGTGCTTATAAAGTAAATTAACCTACAACAAAATTAGTATTTTCTTTGACATTAATTGTGATTAGATTACAGATGAACCTATGCCCTCCAATCCACCTCTTCCAAGTAAACTCTTTTTTGATGTAAGCTGGCTATACATGGTAGAGTGGTTGCCAAGCATATGGACTTCTTCTAAAATGAACAAAGCCCACGAGAAACGAGCTAAAATGTTTAAATCGTAAGCTACGAGGCATGGACACTTTTATGGAGGCGGCCTGTCATGTTGGACACCGACACTCTGCAAATACTCCTAAAAGCATGTCCAACACTTCTTTAACGTGTCTAAATTAAAAAATAAAACTCATAATATCGGACACTTTATAAACACCTTTCGGACACTTTGTTGACACTTCTTGAACCCTCTAAACATGATCTATGTAATGAATCTCTTCATAGTAACAATGTTTTACACTCTTATAATGCAACTTGTGCACTCTAAATATGTTTTGGAACATTTATGAGATAAATACATTATACATCATATATTGATTATAATTTTGTTATAATTGTTTTGCATTTTTTAGAATACAATTGCTACATGAATAATATCTTCACGTTTTTATGGAATATATGGCTTTTAAATTTAATTAGTGTTACATGGTTATTCATCATTACTTTTGAACAAACTATTCATATATTTGAAATGTAATAAATTTATAAAAATATAAATTTTTAAGCCGTCCTTGTCTGTGTGTGCTACTTAGATTGTATGTACGTATCAATTTTAAGAATGAGTGTTTAAGATGAGAAGGAACGAGAACAAGACCAATGCTTTCGATAAAAATATCTAAAATCTTGAAAGCAAGAGTACTTCCAAGGCATGTATAGATATCCATAAATACACACACATATGTCCAACGCGTATATAGATTTACCGCAGGTCTTATCAACTTATTTACCAAGCGAAGCCACTTTCGACCTTGAGCTCTCATCAAAGCTGTCGTTTTAGTTACAAGCTAGAATTATAATTGAGAAGGGTATGCTACCATATTCATTGGTACACAGAGGAATCATTGTCATTGGTTTAACCTTTTATTTAAGAGCTAGAATTATAAATTATAATAGCTTCTCATACACATAGAACAATAATTGAGAGCAGCATCCATCACAAATTAACTCTAAATTTGCAAAATCACAAACTAGAGCAAGGAGCACTCAAATTAGATTGCTTACTCTTTTTTTTTTCTTTTTTCTTTTTCTTTTTTTGTGTGTAGAAGTGCACAGGAACCAATTAGAAAACCAAATAAACCATCTAACACATCCCTATAGGGAGGGAGACAGAATCCCACTTCTAATTGAAGTTCCTCAAGAGTTGATATCCAATTATGGTGGGAAATGGAGCTCTCTATTCCATGATCAATGGTTGTGAAACACATCATCAAATATTTATATTAAACCCACAATAGTTAAAAAAAAGACTTTAAAACTCATAATGACAGGACACAACAATTTAAAAAACAACAGTAATAAATAAACAACAACAACAACAACAACAACGCCCAATTAGTACCCAATAATGGGTGTTTGGGAGGGGTTAGATTGGGTAACCCCTACCTTTTGACATAAATGCAAAAAGTGGTTGTCCTTGGACTTATAATTTTGGGTTTTGATGATATGTTGCAACCTGTTATATTGAAATTGAGATCTCCATTTCTTGCCACAAATGGAGAGGAGCCAAATCAAAGCAACTAAATAAGCTTATCTATTAATAGGTTTAAGTTAAGAATTACGATTCAAAGCAACTAAATTGGCTTATCTATTGATGGGTTTAAGTTAAGAGTTATGGATTTGAAGCAAACCATTAGCAATAACCAAACTAAGAAATTTCCATAATGTGAGCATGGAGGATTAATTAAGACAATCTTTTAACGCCATAGTAACATCAAATTGAACCAGATTATTGAATATCCCAAACTACCTCCCTAAGAGCTCCAGCTTCTATAGCTGATCCATATGTGAAGGTATAATGTTTCCATGAGACCACCAGACCCTATGATTACGAATTATCATACCAAAAGCCCCCACATCCTTCTTCGAATTAAAAAAGCATCAGCATTAACTTTCAGCTATTGTTAAGGAAGGGGCTCCAAATTAACTCTAAGACTTGGTTCTCTTCTAGTGCCTTGAAGAGCACACAGCTGCTTGCTATTAACCGCTGCTAGGTACTCCTTTGCTATATTAAAAGTTGTAATAATTACTTTTGCTGGACAAGGAGTTTTCGTTTGAAACACAAAACCATTCCTTTTTGTCCATATGAAGCAGCACATATTACCAGGCATAGATGATTGAAAAAAAATTATGTATAGTACTTCTAAGAAAAAATAATCTTTATCCCCTTGTGGTTAAGGGCTAAAGCACGTTACTACCTTATGGTTCAAATATAGGCAGAGCACCCCAACACAAAAACTAGAAACATCAATCACTCTATTTGGTTTTGTTTCCAAAATCTGTTTTCTATTTTCTTTTTTAATGATGATTGTTTTTTATTTGTCAGTTTGTTCACCAAACTAGTTTTTAGTTTTTTGAAAGAACAAAAAAACATAAAAGCAGATTTTCAAAACGAAACCAAATAGAGTGAATAATTTAAAGTGATAGAACAACAGTTACTGATAAGTTGGAAAAAAAAATTGAAATAAACGTAATGGGCCTATTAACATCAATCACTCTATTTGGTTTTGTTTCCAAAATCTGTTTTCTATTTTCTTTTTTAATGATGATTGTTTTTTATTTTTCAGTTTATTCACCAAACTAGTTTTTAGTTTTTTGAAAGAACAAAAAAACATAAACCAGATTTTCAAAACAAAACCAAATAGAGTGAATAATTTTAAAGTGATAGAACAACAGTTACTGATAAAGTTGGAAAAAAAAAATTGAAATAAACATAATGGGCCAATTTGGTGCAGCATCCTGCAAGCGGAAACCAATTATCCAGAAACAGCTAAAAGCATCTCTCCGCCACTTCCAAATAATTAGCTTATTTAAGTTACTTTTGACTCATATCATAAGTTAAAATTAGAAATGCCAAACACTTGGTACAGATTCTCAAAATAAATAAAAACGATAAGCAGCAGTAATGAACAAATAAAAAAGTGATAAATGTATTACATTTTTCCTGTTAAACTCTTCCATAGCTTTCTCATATTGTGCTTGCATCTTGGTAGTTTTTCACTGCAAGTACCTTTCTCCTGTATACAACAACAAAGTAGCCGTTACAAAGTATATGATTGAAGAAAGGGCAAATTACACTTTACCTCTTTTAACTATTGTCTTGTGTCACTTTACTCTCCTAATTCCTGAACTAAAAATGGCAACACTTAACCCCTAATCTGGACTTTTATTACAAAATATCCTTTCAACTACATAATAAATTACACTTTATCCCCTTCAACTATCACTCAATATCACTTTATCCCCTCAACTAAAAAATATTACATTTTGTCACCTTAAACCATCAATTTGTATTAATGATTTGCAGATAACATCTCAAATATTATGGAATGCCTAAAATAACATTATTATTTTTTACCTTTCTTTGCCAGGCACAGTGTAGGCAACTATGGTTGTTGACGTGGGTAGGACAAAGGAGGGAAAGATAGAGAGAAAATGATTAATAATGTCATTTTAAGCACTTTGCAAATTTTGAGATATCATGTGCAAGTTGTATGTCAATTTTTCATCCATTTATGTAACGGATCTTTAATGGAATGTTCGCATTGATACAAATTGATAGTGTAAGAGAAGAGCATCTCCAATCCTTCACACTTTCTTCCATCAAATTTAAATTTGACAAAAAAGTGTTCAAAAATCATCTCCAATTCTTTCATCAAATGTTCATCAAATCAGTGGAGTCATTTTTTCATCAAATTTGAATTTGATGAAAATTTAAAAAGATAAAGCTTTGGAGAATTTTTTTTTAGAAATTTTTTTTTTTTTTTTTTTGGCATCAAATTTGATGAATTTTGGGATAAGAGGGGAAGTTTTTTAAAAATTTGATAAAAGGGTTGGAGTAGTTCGTATCAAATCAAATTTTTTTACTCAAATTTTGAATCAAATTAGATGAAAAAATTGGTAAGGGTTGGAGATGCTCTAAGGTGACAAATTATAGCATTTTTAATTGATAAAATAAAGTGATATTGTGTAATAATTAAGGCGTAAGATGCAATATTTTTCTCATGAAAGTCTTAATAGAAAAAAAAAATATATATATATATATATATACTAAATCAGGAGGTAAGTGATCAGGAGGTAAGTGTTACAATTTTTTAGTTAAGCTAAATTGAAATTGACTAATCAGCTTCAATGAAATAATTCAACATAGATCACCGTGACTGAGAGAACTGATACATCCTTTTTTTTTTCCCCGTGATTTTGTAATATTAATTTTGTGATTGATCACAGATGGAAGTAGAAGATCTTACAGATTCAATCTTCATTCCCATTTCTCATATAAAAAAAGTTCAGTAGAACATTGAAACCCTAAAAAAAACAGCGATTCAAATCGAAAATTGGAGGATTAAAGCGAGAAGTACCTCGATCAAGAGGGCTTGAGTGTGGGATTCCGAGGCAGAGTCCTCGGAGACGATTGAACAGCGAAGAGAGAGAAGATCGATTCGCGAAAGTGAGTAGTGAAATTCACTGAGATACTAACTTGCACAGAGAGAGAGAGAGAGTCTTGACAGTAGCAACAGGTGGCCTATTTATATGTTTGAGTTTCAGAAGACTTTATTTATTACACGTGTCATAACATTAAAATGATTTTATTTCAATTTCAAAAGTTTTTAATATTAGATGGTGAAAAAATTCATAAAATTTGAATAAAAAATTAAAATAAAAATTCAAAAAAAATTATTTATTAAGAAATTATTTTTCAAATGTTTATATCTTTATTAGTTCATATTTAATGTATTTATGAGTTATTGTACCTTTACAAATATTTTTTTAACCTTTAATAATTTAGTGATGTAAATATTTTTATTTGACATTGTGAATATTCAACATATGAATATTTATGTTACGTAACATTCATATTGTTAATAAGGCCAAAAGTTCAAATTTTAATTTTGTTTGGCAAAATATCCAGGTACTGAAACACTTTGTTCATAAGGACATGGCTAAGCAAATTGACCAAAATACCTCTACATATATAAAATCGTCTCTTTCCTTTGAAACCAAAAATCCATTCACACGCTCTCTCTCTCTATTTTGAAACTAAATCCTAAACATCTCTCTCTCTCTCCTCTCTAGGAGTGTAAATTTGGCCCAGGTCGACCCATGACGGGTCTCGCAAGCTCCAGCCAAAATTTGGGTCTGACCAAATTAGCCCATGGGCTATAAAATTAGGCCCAGGCCCAATAAGTATTCGAGCCTCATCCAAACTAGTGGACCTGGGCCTAAGCTCAAGCTTGGGCGAGCTGAATAATTTTTTGTTTTTTTATTTTTTTATTTTTTTTCCACCAAAAAATTATTATTTTCCACTAAAAATGGCATTGGGCCTCGGCCCGAGCTTTGAGCTGGCCTTGGGCTGACCGATGGGCCAGGTAGGGCTTCAAAATGACGGCCCAAGCCTAGGCCTAAGGTCTCAGACTGAGCTCGAGCCTAGGCTTAATCAGGTCAGACCCACTCCAGGCCACGGGTGGACTTCTGGCCGCCTACGGGGCTGCGGGCCATTTTGTCACTCATACTCTCTTTTTTCATCTTTATCTTCTCTATCTCTCTTATTCTCTTCAAAATCGCCAAGCAATGTCCTCTGAATCTCCAAATCTCCATCATTGCAATGACGACGACAACAACAACAAACTCTATATGTATTTTTCCAAACTCAGATTTGTAAGCAATGGTTTTTGAAAAAACAGATTTTTCCTCAACTTTGGTCCAATTTTTAGGTAGGACCCATGTGTCAAAGTTGACGGGTTTAAATTGTAACGCGTTTTATGTCGCGTTGTGATTCACATAGTATATTTGGTTGATCAAAACCATTATCGGATGAATGGAAAATTGAAGCCAAAATGAGCTCTATGAAAATTGTTTTTTGGTGGAATTTCCATAAAGGTTTGAGTTAAAGCTTGTCCCACATTGGATTGGTGGGAAAACTTTGTGTGGGTTTATAAGGCTTAGGTTTGGAACTTGGGGTAAGCCCTAAGGGGCATTCAAGTTTTGTAGAGGGGAAGGTTATGGGTAAAGTGAGCTAGACCCATTGGACCCAAAATAAACACACGCGCTACCTATCCAGGCTGGGTTGGGCTTGGACGCGAGTGCGTGGTATGAAGTTGGGTTAGGCTTGTCCGGTCTAATACTTATTTTTTTGGGCAAAAAATATTTGAATTTATTTTTATTTTTTGGAAAAATAAAATCTATCCAATTTGATTTCAAATTTCAGTTGGAAAAAATTCAAATTTTGGTTTGCATCTCTTCAAATTTTCTGTATAGGTTCTATATCTGTCTAAACAGATTCAAATCTGTTCAGTTCAAGCCCAACAGGTTCCTACCTGTTTAATTTAAATTCAAACAGGTTTTGTATCTGTTTAATTCAAATCGAATAGGTACTATACATGTTCAATTCAAATCTGAAAAGCCAACTTTGCACCTATAAATAGACAGGTCCTTCATTTGGATTTTTATTCAATTTTCGTTCTTGTTCTCTACTATTGCTCTCTATATTTTGCTACATTTATTTTATATGAGAAAGAGTGTGGTTTTTTCACTCCAATTTCATCCAAAAATATTCTGCAATTATTCTCTACACTTTGCTGCATTGTTTTCTTGTGAGAAAGAGTGTAAATATAAAGTGTGTTCGTTATGTGAATAGTTTGTAGTGCTGTTACTATTCGTTGTTGATCATTTTAGCCTGAGAGATAGACGTCCGCAATCTGAAAGCACCAAAGAAATGACGAATTTGTCTCAATGACACAGTGTTAAAACACTGGACTTTATCAAAATTTTGTTTGAGAAATTAATTAGTAAAGTAATTAATTTACTTTCTGCTGTATTATTATTATTTTTTTCAGATTCAGATTTTGTTTTTGTAACAAAACAAGAATTAGTTGTTTTATTTTATTGTATTTATATTATTTTGATTTTTGTAATTAAACAATCTCTTTTGTTTTCTTTAATTTTTTCTTTAAATACATTGAAGATGGTCCAACGAGATCCAAAATTCTGAACCAGTTCATCGGCAGACTTTGACTAGGAACATAGTAAAGCTCGAATGCGACAAACAAACCGAATTTAGAACAAATGAGAGGAATTTATAGAGATAAAAAAAGGAATTGTAAATGAGTTGGAGTATGTGCGAAGTAATTTGGACCAGAAAAAATAGTTTTGTATGGGGAGCAGATATTCGTCGTTGTCTATACTTCTTGTGTCCAAGTTGTGCTTCATTCCGATCGACCTGAGAACACAATGATGGTGAGCTACCTGGTGGTGCACTGTCGGAAAACCCTCCGACGATCAAGTTAGCACACAGGGAAAGAGAGAGGAGAGGAGGCAAAGTAATAGGTGAGTTGTGATCATAAGATGTTCCAGACCTTAGTTTGGGAGGGAAAGAGAGAAAAGAGAAGAGGCAAAGTGGTAGGTGAGTTGTGATCATAAGATGTTCCAAACCTATGTATGGGGACGCGGCACCATTTATATACCTTCTGCGCACGCCTCTGCGTCCATTCACCTTTGGATGCGTGAACCTACTCTCCTCTCCTATTTTCCCACGTGTCAACACAAATACAGCTAAACACCACCTAACAAAACCGGCAAACGGCATTGGCGCGAACGGACAGCACGGCGCCACTCTATCACTCTATGACCGTGTTACTTCTGAGATATGCAATGCTCTAAACCGAGCTACGCCTAGAACGACGCCACATCATTACACCACGATCGTGCTAATTGTCTGGTTTTATTAAAGAATCTCACTGCGGTTTAGCCGTCCTCAGTTATGACATTTCTTCTGCTCGGTCGGACTGATTTGCGGAAGACTTAACCCGTCTAACTTAACGAGCAAATAAAGTTAACTAGACTGACAGTCCGATATTACCCCGGCTAAATCAGACCGGGGCCTTGACTAAGCGTATCCCCACTTGCTTGGCCCAACTCAGCTCGGCCTAACTTAGCTCCGTCATTATCTTAGCCCAATGTCAATTTATAAAATCTCCCTCTCAAGTTTGAAAACGCGTGAAAACCCTAAGTTGAAAGGTTGTATATATGCTAATTTGTACAAGTTTGTAGCTTGATTCAGTGAAAACTATAATAATTACAACGTTTGCAACAAAAAACGGGAGACCAAGGACGAAGAAGTAGCATGATTTTAGTTTTCCAACGCGATTTAAAAGTCAGAGAGTTTCCTATCGGAGCTCCAGCACCTCCGCGTCGGAACATTCTAGTAGAAGATGAGCAACGCTGAGCATCGTCGTCTACTCCAGATCTACTCCAGATTTTTGCCAACGTCTCTCTTTTCTAACGCCGCCAAGATCTCATCCAGTTGCGGCGGATTGAAGCACCGATGATCTCCTCCACGACGAGCACCTCCAATTCATCTAACTCCTCAGATCTGCCTTCCTTGAAGACGAGTTCTCGTCAACGCCGTGCGCGATGGCGGTGGCGAAGCAGCAGTTGGAGTTCAGATCCATCCTCTTCTCTACGTCAAGGTAAAAGCCCTTTGTTTCTTCTTTCATACATGTGTGTATATATATATGTGTGTGTATGTATCTATTTGTGTGTATTTATGTAAGTAATTGTAGTGGATTTCAGGAGGATGAGGAGGACTCGATTAATTACTGCGTAGAAATATTAGCGCTTCTCCACCACCACAGAGCTGCCTCTAGACATCACTTCAGAGACGAAGATGTCGAAGGACTTTGATGTTGAATTTTTTGTTGTGGTTTGTATTTTTTTTTTTAAATCTATTTTTATTTCGAGCTGAGATCTAAGGTTTGAAGGACATGGCTCAGATCTAAATAGATAGTTTGGACAGAATTTTTTTTGGGTAAATTGAACATATAGAAGAATTTCAAGAAAAAATTGAACAAATATTGAACTGATTTGATGTACTTTTTTATCTGTTCAATACATCCTCACTGCAATCTGTGTTTTTTTTTGTAATAGTTTTTTTTTTTTGTTTGAATCATTGTAATAGTTGATGACGATGATGATGATGATGATGATGAAAAATATAAAATGTTGTGTATAGTTTGTATCCCTCAGTGGTAACTGGTTTTGATTTGTACAGATTGTGAATCTTCACTGCATGAAAACAAATTGATGCTATTGAACAGATAACTTTTAAACAAATAGAAAATTTACACAAAAAAATAAAATAGAAAAATATATTTTTTTTAAACAGATAGATATAATTTTGAATAGATAGTGAAAAATTTTGAATAGACAAAAAATTAGAACAAATACGAAAAAAATTTGAACAAATAGATATAAATTTGAACATATAGTCAATGAAAAGTCAAACAGATAAAAAATGTAAAATTGAAAATAAAATGTCATTTAGGACTTCTCACTAAACTGTTTCACAAAAGTGAATCTCTTACCAATAAAAAAAATCTACTAGACTTAATGCCTTATACATTTCTTAGATTGGATTTATCACTAATTTTCTCTTATTTTTAAGGATATTTTGATAATTATGTCATTCATAAGACTTATTGGAACATAAGAAAATTATTTGAATTAAGTATAACATAAGTAGATGAAGAATACTTTATAAATAAATGCCCCAAATAAAAGACTTAAAAGTTTGAGCCTTATACAAAAATAAATGAATCTTAAAATTTTAATTTATTAATTTAATGAATGAAATTATCCTTTTTGTATTAGTTCTACTCAATAAAAATAGGTAAATTATTTATATTGAAAATAAATCAAAAAAATAATTTTTAAATTGATAAAATTGAAACTCATGATTTATTTTGTTACAATGTTTAAATTCTATGATTTTTTTATAATGGTTTGTTTCTAATATTTATTGTTTTTGTTTGGTTTAATTTTTATATTTTCCCCAATTTTTTAAATCTGTAATACACCTTTTTTTTCATAGTTAAATATTTTTACTTTTTCAAAAGATTTAATATTGGATGATGAAAAAAAAAATCACAGAATTTATGATTTTCTGTTTAGTTTAAATTTTTTTTTCTTTAATACATTTTTATATTTTAGTTAAATAGTTTTATTTTTAAATGTAATTTAGATGGAACTTTAAACTAATATTTTTGTTCTCTTCAGCAAAATCCATACAAGTTATCACTTTAAATATTTAGTTTTATGTAATTTCACTATCTTCTTTCACATTTCATTCTTTACTCTCTTTATGTCTATTTCTTGTGGCTCTCATTTTTACTTATTTATGAAGGAGTAGTAATCACATTTTAAAATATGATTACCGTATTCAAAAATTAAATTTGAAAAACAAATAAAGAAGATAAAATAATAAAAAGGGTAAATTACACTTACCTCACTTGTTATTTAAAGAAAATATAATTAGCGCGACATTTTTAACATAATTACGTTGGTGTCTATTTAAACTTTAATTAATATAAAATTTGAAAATAAAATGTTTTTGTTTCTTATCTACTAAAATATACATTTATCTTTATTTTATGGTATATCTACTTTAGTTTTGATTGCTTTAATCTTATAAAAAAATAAATCAATGTAATTTTGCCAAACTTATTAAATTAATTGTATTCTTCTCAAATTTCAAGGAAATAAGTGTAATTTACTCTACTAAAAATTAACAAGAACTTAAATTTAATCAATTAACTCAAGTATAACTCTAAGATATAACTTTGACATGGCCTGGGTGAATTTTTTTTTTTTTTTTTGGGGTTAAAATAGTTAAAAAAGACAAAACATTCAATGATATCATTTTTTTTAAAATTTTTTTACGTGTCTTTTTGTAAAAAGTCAAATGTAAAATTATATGTAATAATTACACTTGGTTTAGGTAAGTTATCTAAGCCTAAAACATAAGAGAAATGATATACAAACAAAATTTGTATATAAAATGATGTGGCTTGAATTAATGATGGTCATTCTCTTTATTCACTTTGCATAATTGCCACATCATAGGAGGATAAGTTTATTTATGAAAAATATTACGAACCTCGAATGTTTTAGGATCCAAAGCATTACTCATTTATTTATAATAATGATATCACCACATCATTCTTATAGAATTTTATGTAGAAGTAGAATTTTCTAATACACAATTGTATTGCAAAGATTTATTATAGAGAATCATATCCATTACAAATTTAGGTAGAGATTTTGGAAAAAGAAAAAAAAAAGGAGTGAAATAAATTAAAATAAAAATTTAAAATTTTATCTACATTTCCTTTACCTTTTATTTATTTATTTTATTAAATATCTCATCATATATCCAAACACAACTTAAATAAAAATCATATATAATATATAAATTTATAATCTGAATACAACTTAAATAAAAATTCGATTCAATTGAATTGTGATAAATTTTCGATGAGGCTTCAAAATGTTGCCCTATAAGTCAAAATAATAAAAATAGTATGAATATGAAAATATATATTAAATCTTACTTTGAAAATGAATATGTAATATATAGTGAGTTGTAAACAGTTGATTATTTTAAAAAAAAATAATTTTTATAAATTTATAATAGTACAATTAATTAAAATTAAATTCATGTTCTAAACACAACATTAACAAATTTGGCAGTTAACACCCCCACCCCCAAAAAAAAAAACTACCAAGAAGGGATTGGGGCTCGCGCTGGCCCATATTTATCCAGAATGTAATGTTGAAAAATAAAAATTAAATTAATAAAATAAATATAAATCCAGTTTGCCGGTTGTAGCATTGCATGGTGACTGAAACACTTCTCTCTCTCTCTCTCTCTCTCTCTGTGCAATTCTGGTGCTTTACCTTTCAGAAACCTCTTCTTCACTGGTGAACTCTTCTCTCTCTCTCTCTATTCATATCTGCAATTACTTTTAGGGATTTTTGTCACACTCTCTCTCTCACTGATCACAAACCAGAATTTTGTCTCTCTCCTCTCTCTAAACCCGTAATTAGGCATGCATTGAACACGATGTTTCACTTCGTCAAAGACTTATTATAATTCTGCATTTTTTGATTCATAAAAGACCTTTGATTATACTGTTATGGGTTGTTTGGACGCTACATTCAAACATTGTGTTTGGTAAAGGATTCACAAAATACCCATTTTTTTAAAAGTTCAATTTGATCACATGAAGAGGTTTTTTTGGGGGTAGGAATTCAATTGATGTCCTAGTTTCTGTTCTATTTGGTGATCAAGGTGGTGTATTTTCATTTGCATGTTGGTTTAATCAAAATGTGCTGTCATTATTCATGGATCACTACAATGCATGTTTGTTTTGGTGGTAGCTCCCTCAAGACTCCATTTCCTTCATAACTCTCAAGACTCCATTGTGTGGGTTCTGTGGGTCACGTGACGGTGATTTGAACCGTTTATCTTGTACGTCTCAAAGAAAAGAATATGTATACAAAAAATTAGTTTAATCAGCCATCAATAACCATATTAATTTATTGTATGTTGTTTTATAAAATGAACGGTTTTAGTTTAAATCACATTTACCATCAATTTCATAAAACAAAACACAATTAGTGTTTATCGATTTTCGATCAAGTTAATTTTTTGCATATATATTTTTTATCTTCGAGATTTACAAGATGAACGGTTCAAATCACCGTCATGGGATCCCACAGGGCCCACAAAATGGAGTCTTGAGGGTTATGGAGGAGATGAAGCCTTGAGGGGAGCTACTTCCATTTGTTTTATGTCTCTATTTGCCTTTTGTGAAGCATTCTTTAACCCATAACTGCAATATGCTTCATAATTCATGTTTAATCTTGTATCCAATTTAGTCTGAATCTTCAAATTCATGTACCTTTTTTTTTTTTTTCAAATTTTAGTAATAGACTAAACCTAAAGGGCTAAGTTTTGAGAACATTAAAATTTTCAAAATTTTTTAATTGTGCTGCCAAATTTGACTAGATTTACTAATTATTGTCACAGTATGTAGAAAATTTTAAGAAAAGAACTCTTCCATACATATAACCAATGCTCTGTTTGTTTTGGTAGAAAACACTTTTAACAAAAACCGATGTGTTCGTTATAATGGAAAATGAAAGTTAAAGGAAACCGTTTTTCATATAGTCGATGAAAAATAAGATTTTCTGAGTGGAAAAAGCTTTCCGCTTTTGAAAAGTGAAAAACGTTACAAACGTCGCCACACCACTGCTGCACCGTTGTCACCACTACCATCATCCTACCACCACCACTATTGCCGCCACTACTAGCACTACCACCTAATTGCATGCTTCACCATGGCCACCCCCCCAACTGCCACCACAACAGCACATGCACATTAGTTTCAAGATTGCAACCAAATATGGAGAAACATTTTCTACAAAAAGATATTTTATGTAAAAATGCTTTTTTCTGTAAGAACGTTTTATGTCTAAACAAACGGAGCATAAATTTTCAACTCATTGTTGAGTTTCCCCATACAAAAATTTACTTGAATTAAGTTTTGTCTGCATGATTGAATCTGAATTAAGATGACTATTCACAAAGAAAACCAGGTAAAGTGAAAAAAAGCATAAATTATGGATAACTGACATGGTGTTCTATTCATGTAGGATTTCTATCTTCATTCTAACTCTTTTTTTTTTTTAAATTTTTTTATGCATACACTGATCAATAAATGATCTTAAACTCATGGACTTAGTAGTATAGATGTTTTATGGTTTCCAAATTCTTCATAACTTCTTTATATGCTACAGATTGATGACCACCTTTTTAATTTCACAAACTAAGTGCTAGAAAACTCAGTTGCATCAATTGAATTGCCTACTGCAGCCTGCCCATATGGCTCTAAAACCATGATTTAAATGTATTCAAGTCAAGTAATGGTGCAAAAAGTGCTGGCCACTATGTATATAAAATTTGAACTTACTTGAGACCATGCATACTGACATTGAGAGAGAAAAAGAGTGGAGGATGTTTTAAATAAACACTGATTCGCTGTATAAAATAGCTGGTTCTTTGGTCATGTTTGCTTGTGTTCTGCAATATAAATTTGAAGGGAGAACAAAAGTTCTATATATTAGTATCCACTATTCGTAAGAAAGAGCAAGGAGTGACTAAAATTCAGTCCAATCAGTATTATCATATGGAGAGAAGATTGTTGTTATTTCATTGGGTTGGAGCAATTTTTTGGTTATTGAAATTGTGTTATTGTTATTTTATAGAGATTGGAGTGGCATGAAAGAAAAAATGTAGTTATGCTGCAATAACTTTGTCATAAAGGTTAGGTCAAATACTTAAATCGGAAAAAAAAAGGGGGGGAAGAAAGAAATAAAGAAAAGGGTCAGGTCAAATGGTCACACCTACTTGATATCTCCCTTTATAATGTGGCCTCTAGATTAACATAGATTTAGATGTCACTCGTATGCTATGTGAACTCAGGTATGAGTATCGGGTGTGCATGTCTAACCATCGGACATTTATAAACCCAAATCTTAGGATATTGAGATATGTATCTAAAGTTGGATGTGCATGAGGTTGCATATATATATTGGAGGTCATAGCCTGAGGAGGAGGGGCATGAACCCTTAGCCTCCTAGTCAGATGCAAAGGCTCTGGCCAACTAGGTTAGCCTCAATTGGACAATGAATTGGTAATTCATGATGCTTTACCCTTTCAAAACTGTAGAGCGAGCATGTAATCAACCTAGATCCTTTGTATATCTATGTTGTGTAAATGGTGACACCAAGGTCAACGTACTTTATGTTGGTACATGTGATTTCAGTGGCGGTTGCTAAGCTATTGGAAAAGTTGCAACAAGACTTTTTGTGGGGTGGTGGGAGGGAGGGTTTTCATTATCATCTGGTAGCTTGGGAATCTATATGTAGACCCAAGGAGGGAGGGGGTTTTGGAGTTCAAAGGTTGGTTGAGTTTAATCGGGCTCTTTTAGGAAAGTGGTTATGGCGTTTTGTAGAGGAGAGGGAGAGACTGTGGAGGAAGGTGGTGGTGGCAAAATATAAGTTGGATGGGGGGGTGGTGCTCGAACAAGGTGGGTCATTCTCATGGTTGGGGTTTGTGGAAGGGGATTTGGTTGGGGTGAAAGGAGTTTTGGTTGGGCCCAGCTTAAGGTGGAGTTGGGGAATAGGGTTCGTTTTTGGCTTGACAAGTGGTGTGATGGGTTGTCTTTGGCTAATATGTTTCTTTTGATTTTTGCCATCCCTGCTGATAGGGAGGAGATGGTTGCCTCGATTGGGGATAGATAGGGACAATTGGTGGTTTGGAATGTTCATCTTCGTTGTGATGCTCAGGAATGGGAGTTAGATCAATTGGTGGATCTTTTGGGGTTTTTGTATGGGGTGAAGTATGAAGGGATTGGAGTGGATTCTTTGGTGTGGGATTGTCCCAAGATCCAAAGGGGTTTTGTTCAGTGTCTTCGTTTTATTATGCGCTAGTGGGGGTGTTGATGTTGTCTTTCCTTGGAGGTGTATTTGGGGCATTGGATCACCTTATAAGATCGTTTTTTTGTTTGGACAGCAACTTTGGGTCGCATTTTGACTATTGATAATCTCATTCGTCGGCGGCATATTTTGGTTAATTGGTACTATATGTGTTATGGGAATGCAGAGACGGTGGATCGCTTGCTCGTTCATTGTCCGGTTACGTATCGGTTGTGGAGATTGTTGCTTTGTTTAGTATTGTGGGGGTGCAATCTAGATCTGTGTTGGGTGTTCTTTAGAGTTGGGGAGGGGCTAGGGTTGGAAAGAGGCGTCAGAAGGCTTGGTCTCTTGCTGGCCATTGTTTGCTTTGGTTGAAGTGCAATAGGCGTGGCTTCCAGGATGTGTGTCATTCAGTTCCTTGGTTAGAGAATAGGCTTTTGTTGGTATTGCACAGTTGGGTTATGGGTTTAGTTGATCCCGATGTTTTGGTTTTTGTAGATTTTGTGGAGGATTTGCTTAGTTAGTCTTGGAGGCCCTTTTCTGGGTGTTTTGTATTTGTTGCATCGCCTGGATGATTTTCTAATGAAGTTTGCTTATTTATCAAAAATAAAATAAAAAAGTAAATGGTGACACCGAGGTCGTGTTTAGTTTGGCTGTGTACTGAAGGTCATCGGTTATAATTGTGTCAGGTCTTGGAAATATTCCAATTTTCAGACCTATATAACACTTACTTCTCCTGTTCCTCTCTAGCAGAGAATAGCATTTGAGGTTTCTATGTAAATTAATATATAAATACATGGACATATACGTTTGACTTTTCCTCCTAGAGGAAATATCTTGCACTTTTTTTTGGTAATTGAATACCTCCCATCTACATTTCTTACTGAAAAATGTAATGACCTCCATGGGCAACATTTTATCTATCAGGTGAAGCAATTACATGTAAAATTTATTCTGGCACACTTGTTTAATTATAAATTTGTACTTCTAAAGTTTGAGTTAATTTGATTTTTGGGACATGCTTGACCAAGATAGGTTCAAAGCATTGGCACATAAAAATTTGGGATTTAAAATAGGCAAGTTATATGAAAACTAAAATGATAGAACTTTGTACTTTTTTTGGGTCAAAACTTCCCAGTAAACGTGCATAGTTTTGCTTACTCAAATGATAATTTTTGTCTTGCGGTACACTTTCTGATCATGAGACAAATAATCTTAAATTAATCGGTAGAGAACATGTTAAACACACGACACCGCATAGCCTGAGGAGGAGGGGCATGAACCCTTAGCCTCCTAGTCAGATGCAAAAAAGAGTTGCATGCAACACATTCAATCTAACATGCTTGTTTTTTTGCCTTTTTCTTTTTCTGGTTCTTGGCTTTACCTCCTCTCCTGGCAAGTTATCTTGTCTTATTTGTTGGTGCTGTTCTCTGCAAAATAGTTCAAAGATTAAAATTTTGTTGAGTTCAGTTATATGTCGGTGCCAAATATTCGCTGACGTAAATAATCTGTCTTTACATGTCATTTTCTTTCCTTAAGAACTACTACTTTTTCTTGCAGGCTTTGATTAACTTTATCAACAACTGCAATGGATGACTTGTCTCATGCTATAGAATCTCTCATCGCTGTGGGGTCTGAGTCAGACAATACAATGAGTGAATTGATGCTAAGTGATGATCAGTATTTCCTCCTATTCTTCATAATGGGTACCTTCTTTGGGCCTGATCTCCGGGGTGAAACGCCCCAAAAGTCTGTTTTGCAAAGATATGCTGAGCGTCTTCCTTCATATAATTCTAATCAACTTGTTGGTTCCCACATTAAAACAATAGAAGTAGAGAGGGTATATTACTATGTACTTCGAAAAGCAGATCAATCTGTCATAGTAAAACTACCTTTGTTGCGCCAGTTCTTCTATGGGAATCTCCCCGTGGCTGCACAATATCCTGCTGCTGCTTATCCTCAGTTTCCTGATCTATTTCCTCCCCGGCTTCATCCCCATTCATGGTTTGATAGTCATAAGATCATCGGAAACATTATATTTATCAATAACCCAGAAATCTCTTATATTAGGCCTGAAGATATTGAAAGGTTCAAGCGGCTAACTGGGCTAGAAGATTTTCTTTTAGATAGAGACTGTGCAAGGTTACACACTTGTGTCAATGGTGAGGCATTGTTCGATGTAGCAGTCCAGGAGGTTAAATCTAACGGGGAGTTGCCTCCTCCAAGGTCTTCTCACGATTCTCCAAGATCAGGACTTTTAAATGATTTTATCCGTAACGAAGATTGTTTGCAAGGTGTTCATGTTGTGAAACCTGTCAGCGGTGTACCATATAGTGGTACACCTATGACGTACAATTATATGGCTCCATTACCGGCTGAATTAGACACGAGAATTGTCGAGAGATTTGAGCCTGGAATGGTATTTCTTCCTTCTCCCCCAACTAAGGAAGAGTGGGAAAATATTGGGACTTCCACAAGAAGTGGATCTGCATTGACTGGAACTGCAGCAATGGGACATATTGGACCAGTTATTGGACTTATGGACATTGGGGAATGTGATGATTCCTACCTATTCCGTGTATCCCTTCCTGGGGTGAAAAGGGATGAGAGTAAGTTGACTACCTGTGATGTTTTATCATTCACCGGGTGCATAAAAATTGTGTTTCATGGTAGTGTTCAAATGCATTTAAGGCATTATTTATTTCACCACGTAAATAACTTTTTGGAGTCTCTCCTTTCAATTATGCATACTTTATATATATTGGATTTCATGCTTTACACATCTGTGTCCGTGCTTCTTAATCTGTTATTTTAGAGTTCACAAGTGGTATATTGAATTCCGTGCTTCTTCGTCTGTTATTTTATAGAGTTCACAAGTGGATATTTTGAATTCTGTAATTTACAGATTGCAAGTGGATGTCATTTGGTTGTTAAGAATCCCAACTCACAACAATATGCCAATTTCTCAGAAAGCCAAATCCTTTTATTTCCTTCTCTCTTCTTTTCGACTAGTCTAAACAAATTTTTTATTTTATTTTATTTATTGATAATTTTGATTTAAACATGGTCAAATGAAGTATCAAGAAATTACCCTATTTACTGCTTTGTTTTACTATTTTGGTAAGTTAATGACCTTTCTCCCCTTTCTTCTCTCTTTTCCCTGTATCCATAATGATTCAGTTCGTCACGTATCACTTTTGTCAAGAATTGAATTTTGTTGACTCTATATTTAATGAGCTCATATGCCATTTTTCCTTCATGGGCCTCCATACGATTGAAGATATATGCTTCATGTATCATGTGTGTCAACAATTTACTGAGCTCAAGTGCCATTTTTCCTTCATGTGTCTTGATATACAATTGAAGATATACCATGATGTGATTATTGGCTTGACTACAGGAGAATTTAGTTGTGAAGTTGAAAATGATGGCAAAGTATTGATAAGGGGAGTGACTACCACCGGTGAAAGAACGGTTTATAGGCACTCCCAGGCGTTTGAGATGCAGACACAGAACTTTTGTCCACCAGGGCACTTCTCCATTTCATTTAAGTTGCCAGGGCCGGTCGATCCTCAACAATTCTCAGGTAATTTTGGTACTGATGGAATTCTTGAAGGAATTGTGATGAAAGGGATATAAAGATGAGAATAATCAAGTATGCTCATGTTATTCGAAAACTTGTGTTTTCAACAGCATTCGGTCATTGTATATTGTTAGATGTTAGAAATGCTGGTTGTAAATTTTTAGGATGTTTAAATTACAGCTCTCTCTCTCTCTCCCCTGCAATTGTCCGTGCAGCAAGTATGTTTGGGACACTTGTGGTTGGTTTTCTGTCACTTATCAATATTGATGTGGATATCAGTTAGATAAGTAGTAAACTCAGAAACTCAATTCGAGTCTCTTGGAAACCTTGGGATGAGCTGTAAACTTGACGTCTGGTGTTGACTCTCGTTTGTTTTTGTTTCTCTCAAGTTTAACCAATATATGTGATTTGAGGGTGATTACAAGTATTCAAAGTGTACTCTGAAATGGTGTGTCCAAAAGGCCTAGTAGTGAACATCTTGAGCCATATATTAGAGACATGCTTCTAAATGCTAGATTTTCTACCTCAGTTGTTTGCTGTGTGAAATTTCACCTGCCGAGAGGTTTGTGGCTGGGATTCTTTTTTGCACATAAGATCTAGCAGACTGTAAAATCTCGGATTCTTGCAATCACCCACAAGTCATAGATATTGGGTAAACCATGCTAGTGACTCGAACACAAAACTTTCCTGAGTTTACAGTAGGTCCCAATAACGATTTGGGCTCCCCGGTTGACCCGACTAAACAAAACTTGGCCTAGATTACCAGTTTGTGATGGTAATGCTTAAAACTTGTACAAGTTTGTGATGTTACCGTGTTGACTTGAGTCAGGTACACATCTATTTTGACTTGGGGTTCATTTAGGAAGTGACTTTTTGATTTTTTGGGAGGCTAAAACATGATTTGAAAAAAATCAAAGTGTTTGGAAATAGTTGTTTTAATTTTTTACGACTAAAAAATATGTAAAAAGTACAAAGAATGAGTGTTGACTTATTTGTATAGTTTTCTGACTTTTTAAGTTTTTTTAGTGATTTTTTAGCTAAATTAATCTGTTGCCAAATGAAGCCTTAGTGAGCCACTTAAGAAGAAGAAACAGTAAGGCCATGAAAACAATGTTAACTGCAAATTTGTTTGTTTGGTTGATTATGGGAATGTATTTGGATCTTGAATTTATGAAGGAAAAAAGAAAGAGAATGTAAAAATATATAAAATATAAGTTAAATTTTTTTTCCCTTCTGCATAGCAAAAATTATTTCATGCCGCAATCTGAGCCGTCCATCTATCTGGGATGGCCACATCATTGTCATTGTCACATGTAATAGTGAATAATTAGCCATAATCAAGAGCTCCACTACATGTCCACATCAACTAGTCCATGTCACGAGAACAATTTCACCGATTCTTTCATTTTTTTTTTTGGGATAAATTTTTACACGAATTTAGGGATAATAAATTGAATAGCCAACTAAACGAATTGAATAGTCTAACTGTTTAAACATGTTTTGAAAATTTTAACAAATTTTAAAATTTGTTCAAGTTTGATTCGTTAATTTTTTAAGTTTTTTGTTGAGTCAAATTTTATATAATTTTAAATTTATCAAATTGAGTTGAACGAGTAGTTGATTATTAGTTTGAAAATTTTAATGAATTTCAAAATGTATCCAAACTTGACTTCTTTACTTAATTAACCGAACTTGAACGAACTTGTAACGAATCAAACACAAGTCAAGTTCGAGTTGTTTAGTTTGTTTATCACTCCCGTGAATTCACAAAACATATTCAAAGAAAAAAATGGCAGAACCCTATTTTAAATGTCGAATGAATCTACCTAGAAAGTGAAAAGAACCAGTGAACATGTTCATCCTTTGCTAACATAAAGCAATTTTTGTAGACTATTGACAGGTAAACTATTTTTTGAATCCTAAAGCAGGTTGGATCCAAAGTGGCCAGAGTTTCCTTCTTGTGTTCCCTCTTTGTTTCCTTTTCTTAGAACACAAACAGAGCTTCAAACTCTAATAGTTTAATTCCTTCATATAGTAGTTAGCAAAGAAGAAACAACATAAAACAGATCACTCCCATATGGCGCAATAATATTCACTAGTCAACTATCAAATATACTAGATATTACAATTCAGTTTTGGATTTTGCAGTTGTAATAGGCCAAAGCATTATGCTTGGGCAATATTTCTAATTATACTTTCAGCGGAAATGACACGGTAAACAACCAAAACAAAAAAACAAAAACAAAACACAAACACCAGCAGTATAATGATCTGCCATATTATACCAAAGTCCTCATCTAATTTAGCAGATCACATCTGGGGGCGCACTTTATGTAACCAGACTTCTCTCCTTCCATTCTGCCAAAAGTCACAACATGCTTCAATCAATAACAGTTTTGCATTCCCATATTCAAGAAATTTGCATGCAAGAGAAATACAAAGAATTGAAAAAACCCACCCAAAAAAAAAGAAAGCAAATGTGAAAACAAAATATCTTCTTCACATGTCAATTTGGGAAGGATGGAAAAAAGTTATTACAAGGTTGAGTAAAATAAAAAAATTCATTTGTAAACATGGCAATTCATTTTTAGCTGCTATTTATTTTCACGAATATGTGAGTTTCTGATAATACAAAGAACATAGAAATGCTAGCAACATTAGTCCAGACGGTTATAAGGCTTTTAAATTTCACTTTCTAGTACTTTTCCCCCCACTTTTGGTGGTACCTGCTATGAGGCCTAGCTCAGACCTCATTTATAACTAATGCATAGATTTTTTGAAGAATTTACAAATATATATATTATTTCTGACGTCCATATGTCAAAAACATGTTTCTAAGTCCATATTGCTAGCAGTTCCAAAAAGGGACATGAGTAATCAGGATTGCCAAAAAAGAATGCCTAGTCCTGTTACTCGTGTATTGTATAAAAATAAATGAACATAGAAATACCTCGCAGCATTATAAGCAAAAATGATAAACCTTGATTATCTAAACCATCACCATATGTACTTTTCACCAGAAAAGAATCATTGGAGAGGATTAAAGACAAATTCCAGAAGTGGGCAAGGGCAAACCATGCAATAGAAGCAGCAGTGAACATGTAATAAACTGCTATAATATTCCACTTGAAACACAAAACAATGAAACTAATGAACATAAATGAACTCACACACTTTTCCAGAGATTGTATATGCTTCAGCGACTAAGAATCCGTGGGCGATTGTGGTTGTTGTGGTGCCTGTGGCCACATTTGTGGAGCCATGTAGGGGTGAGGCTGTTGGGCATACATAACAGGATCCAGAACAGGCTTGCCCATAATCATCCCCGGAGTTCCAGCCTGAGGCGAATGCTGAGGTGGCATATAATAGTAAGGATATGCATCAGCAGGCCCCCCAACAGGCATCGTTCCTCTCGGGATCGATGCAAGTGCTTCATCTTTCAGATCCTCCCTTGGCACTATGTCAACCAAAAAATCAAAGATATCAGTCCTTGTGATCGCTGCCGCGATATCATTCTTTTGGAGTGTCCTCCTTTTGTTTTCCTCTGTGTGATTCCAAGATCGCAGAGTTAACTCTAAGATGAACATCTCACATGCCCTGGCAAACACTATTGGTGCCTCAGCCGATATCATTCTTACATCCTCATCAGCCTTCATGATCTTCTTGATCCTTGCCAAGGGAAGGTTGTGGTTCTTAAAGTCAGTAACTTTCTCAATTTCTTGGTATTGATTCGCCCAAAAAGATTGGAGTTGTTGTTGCAATAGCTGTTGCTGTTGTTGGTGGATATGTTGGTACGCGAGCTGGTGTTGTGCAAGCTGAGCTCCTCCTGGCTGACTAGGAGATTGTGTGGGCCCAACCGACGTAACAACTGGTCCTCGATTAGGGGTCCCACCAACTTGGTTTGGTTCAAATTGGCTCGTGCCGTAATGCAGCTGAGCTCCTTGTGGCTGTCCATGCCCTTGTTGATCCATTCTGTCCTGTGGAGGCTCGAAAGGAAAAATGTATACAATTTCAATAAATGCAAAATTGAAAAAGTTAAACACTACTTAAGTACTTATTTCATTGAGAGAGAGAGAGAGAGAGAGAGAGAGAGAGAGAGAGAATAAAATTGCATTTTAATTACATAAACTAAATTTCTTGCTGACAAAAATACCGTTGCTGCCAAAATCTGAGTCAATGTTGAACAAAGTATAATAAAGAAAACAATTCATGTCAATCTGAAATCCCATGAATACGATGAAGAAAGGCTACCTCTAGTTAAACAATGTACAAGGAAGAAAACAATTATTGATACCATTATGCTTTTTTTGGTAAGTAATTGTAAACTCATCCCAAACCCTTGTAATCCCCTTCAAATGACTTCTTTCCCATAAGACCCACGCACCTCTAGCAAGACCCAATCACCCTAAGTCATTCCATATTTTGTTGGTACAACCTGCCTCCAAAACCTATCCCGTTCCACTGCATATCTCCATAGTCATTTTCCCAACAAAGCTTCATTAAAAATATCCAACTTCTAATCCCCAAACCCCTTTGCATTTTGATAGGTTTACGTACATCCCAATCCACAAGATGATACTTAATTTCTTCGCCTCTACCACCCAATAGAAAATATCGCTGCATCTTCTCAAGGTCCTAGCCACGAAGACTACAATGGTAAATAAAGACATGAAGTACACAGGTAGGTTTGACAATGTACTTTTAATCAAAGTATCCCTCTTTCCGAAAGATAATATCTCTTCCATCCTGTTAATAGGACTACAAACGAACCGAGTTGTTCACGGGCTGGCTCAGCTCATTTAGTAAATGAGCCTAGCTCAAGCTCAAGCTCGAATAAACTTGGCTCGTTTATCTTTATTTAAATTATATAATAAATATATTATTTATCTATTAAATAATATATAAATATATAAATAATAGCATAAATATATTATTTATGTATTAAATAATATTTTTATTTAAATAACTTTATTTAAATAATGTAAATAATAATAATAATAATTACTGAGCAGAGCCGAGCTCAAGTTTCATAAATATTATCAAGCCGAGTTCGAGCTCAATAAACGAGTTTGATAAGTAAACGAGCCAAGCTCAAACTCAACAAAACTCGACTCAGCTCAACTCGTTTGCAACCCTACCTACTAGTCTCCCAAACTCATGTAGATTTGAATGATGATCCAAGAGATTAACCCAAATAAGTAGATGGTATATAGCCCAACCCAAATAAGAAAAGAAGCCAAAGGCTCAACGTTGGGGATGTCCCCAATCAGGATTAGCTCTGATTTCTTCAAATTCACATCCAACCCTAAAAATGCCTTGAAACACGAAAGGACAAATCAAAGGTAGAACAACTACTCTGGATTTGCTCAACTAAAATACAATGGTGTCATCAACAAAAAGAAAACGAGAGAT